CATAATGGTGAGTGCATTCGCCCGAATAGCAAAGGGTGCGGGTTCGAGTCCAGTCTGCTGCCTGATCCGCGTGGAATTTTTCCTAGTAAAATTTTCTTTATTCTTTAGATTTAAACATCTAGCAGTCAAATGCTTAAAAAAGATTTTTTTTTTGTTTTTTACTCTGTTTTTCTTATCTTATTCTTTTTATAATTATAATTAGGGGGTTTGGAAAAGAGTTCATGTTAGAAAGTTATTGCCTTCTTTTGCGTTCAGTGTCCTATAATATTTGACCATATACATTTGTTTTCCATTTTTTGCCATCTACTATATTTTTAGAGGTAACAGCTTGGAAAATACTATATTAGATAGAAAAAAAGTTGGATACGCTTTGTGCGGCTGAATGAGCGTACTTAATTCAAAGTTGGAAAGCTAATAGTAGTACCAAAACTTCGTCACACACGTTCTTCTATTAAGTCTTTACAAGGTAGACTTTATGTCGGGAAAATAAGACTTGAAGATATTGAAATAGGGGATGAAAGTTTGCACGGAACACCCGTTATATTATACTTATCTAAGATTAAATCAAATTGTAGTCTAAGTATTATGCAGATGAAATCACAGGTCCAGCAAAATTCAATAAAATACTGAAGACATTGATATCCTTACTAAATCTTTAAAAAAAAATTAACGCCTGCTTACATGAAGTAGCAAACAATCCTTCTTGTGATATTGCTCATAATAATTTCACAGAAGACATTAGGGGAAGCGCATCACGCACGGGTGCATAGCAAAGTTGTTTCGTGATCACAAGTCGCAGGCCTTTATCAAACTTGCAACTGCACTGGTTCGTGCCCTGTTGCTGTGCTACAGAATTGCTTGATGAAAACAGGTAATCAAAATGCCAAGTCTACTAAAAATATTCAAAAGTGAACAACAACACTACACACACTTCCGTTACTGTTCTGACCCACTACGATAAATATTATGATGATTTGACGTGACAACGTCTTATAATTCGATGAATCCTTCCATTTAAGGCTTGAAGTGCAAGCGAGAGCGCGCAACGAGCGACAAAGAGGCACAATCGGCCTCCACGTTCGGCAGCGTTCGCCATCTGTCTCTCTCCTACTTGTGTGAGCGATGCATCCGCGTGGACAGCTGCTATACAATAATACATTTACATGTTTTCGTCAAGTATGAAGTGCAGTGAAAAGTGGATGTGGTGTCAATTTTTATAGTAACGATAATTGCGGCGATAAAGGTAATGATAGCACACATATTTAAAAGTTGTAAATAAAAGTTGTATAACAATTGCTCAAAGCACATTCATACTTGTAAAAACTATGTACATTGTAAAAAAACGTTGTCACGTTCAACTATCTTCAGTAAACCGACTTTACAGACAACCGATTTTTTTTATGTTAAAAGGGTGACAAAGAAGCATTTGTGGCCCGCCTGATGGTAAGCGGCCACCACAGCCTATAGACGCTTGCGATACAAAAAATATCTCTCGCGCCGTTAGCTACCCTGACCCAAACCCCCTACCCCATGGCCAGCCTTGCCAGATTTTTTTTGCCAAGTCGGGAATTAGGAACTTTTTGAGTGAAAAAAGCGGGATTCTTTCGTCGAAAGCGGGACATAGTAAAAAAAGAGGTATGTATTATCAAAGATTTTTGAATATTTACCTTTTTATACGAGTTCAAATTACGTTTACGTGACAATAGATAGGTACCTAGTAAAAATATCCATAAAAAATGTATTTTAATAAAAATATGATATTTTAAATCAGATTTACCCCATCGGTAAATAGTTTGATTGAGAGTTCTTTTTCTTCATTACGCGCCGGGCAGGCTAGTCCGCACTTGTCTGTGCCACCCACCCGCCCGCGCTTTCTCAGTACGCCGCACGCACGGTCGAGTTATTCCCGAAAAGCGGGATTGAGCCTGTCCCGCGATTAGGGTTACTATTTAAAAATTTGAAAAGTCCTGACGAAACGACGAACATTTCGATAAAAGTCCGGACATTTTAGTAACAAAATGCAAACATCACCCACTTAGTTACAGTGATATTATACGCGTGGTAGCAGACGCTCGCATCGCATTCATATCAGGATTTGATAGTGGCATCCGGGGAAATCGAGGGAAACCTTCAAATTTCAAAGGCACGCACGATGTTTTTTTTATGATTACTTAAAGATTTCTGGTCCAATTTGCCGTTTGGTTCCATAAAAAAAAACATTTTGTTTGATCCAGTACTTTTTATTTAATGAGCATTTTTGTTTATTGTCTACTTGGACGATGCAATTTTCACTAAAATGTTCATCCATTTTAATAAAAAAAATTTAAACAATGGAACTAAAAAGTCAAAAAATAACATCTGGTTCATGATTTGAAAGTCGGGCGGGGTCAAGATTAAAAGATTAAATAGATTTTCGTTTCTGATCGGTAATACTTAATACTAGACTTGCAACGAATAGTATATTCGGCAGTATACCGAATATTCGGCGAGGCCTCTGACCGAATAGTCGAATAATTGGCAAAAGTATTCGGCTGGATTTTAGCGCCAAAACTTGAACAGATTTGTTTCGCGCTCCTTTGTTTTGTTCTAAACTGCCGTCTTAAAGCTAAAATGCGGCTAAATGACAAAACCAACTTTTGAGATATGGCAAAAAACGCGCGTAAACTTTAAATTATTGCTATTATGTAACCATTCATCACATGACTGAATGAATTAAAAACTGTTAACTTGTTTAATACAGAAAATTATTAAATTATGTACCTGTTTTATGTACATACCAATGACTACTTAATAAATGATTATAAAAGAAATAAGAACCTTATCCTTCTAAATTTTGATTACCACAATAATTCAAATACATACAATCCTCCATTTTTCCAATTCAGAAGATGATTATGTACCTGTGTTATGTACCAATGACTACTTAAATGATTATATATAACAGAAATGAAAATATAAATATATACGTAATCAATCGATTTTAATTTTTCATTTTACCAATTATTTCTCTATGACAAAATATTTTTTTTTAGTATTCGGTATTCGGCCGAATAATATGTAGCTATTCGGTATTCGGCCGAATATAATAAAAGCAGCCGAATAGGCCGAATACCGAATAGTAACCGAATATTCGTTGCAAGTACGTCTTTCAATCTTGACCCGCCCGACTTCCAAATCATGAACCCGAAATTATTTTTTACTTTTTAGTTCCATTTTCGATTTTGAATTCGGTTTTACTCTTTGTTTAATTTTTTTTTTCAACATTGGTCATAGCGTGAAGTTAATACCCTCTATATATAATTAAAACCTTCCTAGATATATAGACTACGTAACAAAAGAGATTATTTTAATCCGAGAACGGTTTACAAGTAGTTAGTATTTCCTGAGATTGGCGAGTTTAACCAAACAAATTCTTCAGATTTATAATATTAACATATTCTACCTATCTAGTTATATAAAACTCAAAGGTGACTGACTGACTGACATAGTGATCTATCAACGCACAGCCCAAACTACTGGACGGATCGGGCTGGAATTTGGCATGCAGGTAGATGTTATGACGTAGGCATCCGCTAAGAAAGGATTTTGATCAATTCTACCCCCAAGGGGATAAATTAGGGAATGAAAGTTTGTATGAAAGTTTGTCAATTTTAAACCGATCGGGCTGAGTCTTTGCATGCAGGTATAAGGAATCATAGATGAATGTCATTGTGTATAATACAACCCTGAGATCAAAAACTGTAGTCTACACTTCAGCTCTACACCGAAGCGAAGCGAAGACGGGCCGCTAATTAAGTATAATATGTAAGTATATTAGTAGTTCATAGTATCAAACAGAGGGGGTTCTGTGTTCCGTGGTTGACACATCGAAGATAAGATTTTGCGGCCATAGACTCGTCTTTATAAGGAGGGTATTTTGTCTTATGTTATAAAAGAATGATCAGTTAAATATTAAAGTTTTAATACAGAATTGATGAGTATCAAAAGAATCTAAAAGCAACATGCACTTTAATTAACTTTTGAACGGTTTTTTACATTTTTAATACTTATATTCTTTTGTTAATAATAACAAACTTGCTATAAACTTCCGGACACATTTATCGTGATTTTGATACTGATGCTAGACTTTTAATTAGTAAAAGCTCTAAGGCTAGACCAGACAACATCAGGCGTATTGAAAAACTAACAATTTCATTTCGAGAGACATGAGTACTATACCCTTTGCACGAACCAATATCGAATTCGAATAGTTTGCGAATGCGAAATGTCAATGTTAAATGTCTACTGATTTTTAGTTTTCCTTACGTTCGTTATGACGCTGCTGTTCCAAGTTTCAAACAAAATTTGACAATGACATTTTGCACTCGCAACCTAATCGAATTCGATATTGGTTCGTGCTAAGGGTACTGTACCCTAAGTACGAGTTTTACAATTACGGAAACTATGATAGTTTTCGTGAGCTTGCACTCGTACTAAGGGTACTGATTTTATTGTTTTCGTTTCAATACAAGTAAATAGTGTTTAAATACTATCATTTAATCACTTTTCACCAAAATGGTGAAAAACAATTAATACTATCATTAAATCACTTTTCACCAAAATGGACATAGAAACATAATTTGCAATTACGAAAACTATGATAGTTTTCGTGAGCTCCAACTCGTACTAAGGGTACTGAACTCGGACGTTTGTTTTTAAAATTCGTTTTCTTCACAATGACTTCATTTATGTTGAAGGCTCTTATTTCTTCATGACGAGCAGTAGCTTTAACTAATAATTATATACATACTATACTCAGACCCGTCTTTCCCATTGGGCACTTTGGGCAAGTGCCCAGGGCCCCGCGATCGATAGGGGGGGCCCTCAGATCAAATACAAAGTCCCTAGTTCCTGTTAAATCACCAAAACGAAAGTTACAGGGGCCTCATTATCCTAATATGCCCAGGGCCTCCAATAGGTCAAAGACGGTACTGACTATACTATAAATGGTTTGAACTCACCATCCATTAGGGTTCAGCTTTTCTTTCTCCCAATCCTTAACGTTTTCGTTATCACTGTTCCTCATTATTTGGACACTTATTCAGAATGCAACACAACGTTTCTTAAAACACTGTTCACACAAGAACGTATCGTTTTACAATTATGCACCTGCCCTAAAACGAATGAGACTAAAGTACTTTTTATTTATCGTGAAACCCGTTTTTTCTTGCTATTTATGCGTGTTTTGGTGTAATTAAAAGAAAATTAAAAACCTTCTGGCGAACAATTTTATAAATTTTAAAGACTAGGTATAAAACCTTACCTTATTATTCAAAGCATAAGGTTTAAAAAAAAATAACACTCAAAGTAAATTGTAACTCTACGTCTAGCCGAATAGAATGATAAAATTAATCTTCGCTTTCAGCATCTGTCCACAGACTACTGATTAAAGTGATTGTTTTTGTTACACGGAGACCTTAAATCCTATCTCGCGAGATTATATTCATCATATACCTAACTATCATGAAATGGACAAATGGAATGATGAAAAAATATTCTGATAAGATAATATTTAAAACCCCGTATCTTTATTACCTCCTTAGAAGCGCATTTAAATAAAAAACAAACGTAATATAAAAAGAAATTGCATGAACTATTTACCTCTTTGTAGACATCTCGTTAAAAAAAATACAGAAAATCAACCCACGGAATTTTAATAAATTTTTAACGTGGTTTGAGGATTTGTATTGTTCAAAACGGCCCGCTAAACTCCGCCTGAAAAATCCGTGCACTGCAATTTAAGGTGCGAAAAACTATTTGAATAAACCAAGCGATTAACGGCGAAGATAACCGATAATAGGCAAAGAAACATTAATTACTCAGCCACCGCATCGGTTAATAAGCTAACAAAGATAAGAAAATATCTGTTTACACTTTTATTATGTTGCGATTCTCTACCACACTATCTTTGCATCTTGATTACGGTATCCAAAGGTATATTGTTCTTCGTTCATTCTAAGGGATTAATCTATATTATTTGTGTGTTTACAAATGAAATACTTACTATAAATAGATTCACACCAGAAATTTCTGTTACATGTTACGTTATAGTAGTCAACTTAGATACCGCTTATAAATCTATTAATCGCTTTAAATCAAAATGAATCCCTGTTTCCTACGTCGGCCGTCAAAAGCCATTCGTCACTGACCTATATTTTGGTTTGATTTACTAATTATAAGGGGGGGGGGGGGGACATAATTGGTCAGTGCATTCGCCCGGATAGCGAAGGGTGGGTGCGAGTCCCGTCTGCTGCCTGGTCCGAGTGGATTTATTTTTTTAGTTATATTTTCTTTAGATTTAAACATCAAGCAGTTACATGCTTAAAAAATAAAAATTATATGTAAGTAATATTTTCAATGCGTAGATTATGAACTGAAATATAAGAACCGAGTATTTACAGACAAACATTTACCAAAACACCATTCGTGTGAATAATATTTTTTCAAACATTAGCTAAAATTTCCAGTAGCCAACAAACAGGGTTTTCCCAAGTTTCCGAGCGGTTTTTGCGCCTTACATAAATGGTCAACATTACTTTGTTTACTTTTAGATTTATTATTTCTAGCCGTTTCCATTTACCTACAGAAGATAAGTATTAAATGCGTGCCGCTAACTTGAACTAAGATTTTGGTTGCAACAGTCGCTTTTCTGGTGAAATATTATTGTCTTTTATTATTCAATTCAAAATTCAATATCGTTTATTCAGTCTAGGCTGTTACAAGCACTTGTGAATGTCGAAAAGCTACGCCATCGGTTCGCAAATCTACGGCGGGAGACCTTGTACTGAGAAGAACCGGCAAGAAACTCAGCAAGGGCTGCTATTTTCTCCCTGTTTTATTTCATACAGTGTCGTCCAATTGAAAGTTGACATCAAACTTGCAAACATGTGTTGAGGTCAACTTCCATCACATAATGTCAAATATGTAACAATAGACAATCAACGAATTTACTAACAATAAGTGCAAATAAAAGTCCCAAAATAGCAAGAAACAATTTTCAAAACAAAATGAACAAGTATATGAAAGGGAGTAAGTGCAAGGTTCTCTTCAAAACTCTTTCTAAGGCTGGGAGCCTTAGTTTTAATATAGTATTATTATTAAAAACGTGTTTTTTTGGTAACCGCGCTAATTTTCAAAGCAGGTAATTCATTTAATGATCAAGCACAGTTTAAGGAGTGTACTGTGAGTATAAAAGGTAAGATAAGTATGTCATCATCATCATCATCAGCCTATTATGTATTATATCTATTACTGCTGGGGCACAGGCTTTCCCTATGGATGGAATAGGGAGGTTGGGCCATGACCCACCACGCGGGTCCAGTACGGATTGGCGGGTGCTAACGACTGCAGATGCAGCCCGGACCAACGGCTTAACGTGCCTTCCGAAGAACGGAGGAGCTCGAGATAGTAAATTTTTGGTCACCCATCCAATGACCAACCACTGCGAAAGTTAACTTCAACGATCGCAGCCGAACGCGCTAACCACTTGCGCCATCGAGCTCCTCCAAGTTAAGTATGTATTTTTTATAACTTTACTTATTATTATGGTTGCCTGGAAAAAAAATGTTTCTTAGCGATACGGCCACCGTTTGTACTTTACAACAGTTTTAATTGATAGTAATTTAGTTTTATGGTGTTTAACAATAAAGTGATCATTCATTCATTATTATAAATACAAAGTTGCAAATATAACTATTATTTTCGATAAAGGTTTTCGTACTCAATTTATATAATGAGAACGAACCGGTCAGTTCGCCAACTCTTTTAACATTTACTGTAAATAATTAAATAATAAATATTTCCAACACTCACACTTAACAGCCTAGCCCCAAAGGAAGCACTATAGGCTTGTGTTATGGGATACTAGGATAACGGATAGAATACATATACTGTACATAAATAAGCATATTTATATAGAAATACATATTAAACATCCATGACTGGAGTACAAATGCTCGTATTCATCACATAAACACCTGCCCCCACCGCGATTCGAACCCGGGACCTCTCGAGTCGGCGACACCATAAAATTCGTCGTACAAACCACTCGGCCACGGAGGTCGTCACAGTGTGCAATGTTTCGGAATAAGTATCTCAGTGGCATTAAAATAAAGCAGTAATGGATCACTAAATAACTCCTATATTCAAAGAAAATTTATCTAGAAATAAATCCACGCGGACCAGGCAGCAGACGGGACTCGTACCCGAATGTTTAATACTTGTAAAAGTAGGTATTCATTTGGCATTGTGGGTTATCTACAATGCGAAGAGATGGTGCTGCCTAATTAGCTAGAAGAATTTCGACGCGGCCATCAGGGCGGTAACATAATTGGTCAGTGCATTCGCCCGGATAGCGAAGGGTGCGGGTTCGAGTCCCGTCTGCTGCCTGGTCCGCGTGGATTTTTTCTAGTTATATTTTCTTTAGATTTAAACATCAAGCAGTTACATGCTTAAAAAAAATAAAAATTATAACTCTTATATCGTCGCTCGTCTATATGGTGATTATCACTTCCATCTGTCATAAGCAGTAAGCGAATAGGGCCAACTGGTTTCCTAGGATAATAACACTTTTACAGAATACTCCTAGTATTCCATAACACAAGCCAGTCCGAAATGTCATTGTCAAATGTGTAGGTACTGATATTTAGTTCTCTTTACGTCCTTTGTGGCGCTGTTGTTCAATTTTCCATACAAAATTTATCAGTGATATTTTAGACTTGTAAACTATTCGAATTCGATATTGGTTCGTGCTAGGCTTAAGTACACATTTGACAATCAAATTAAAAGCCTATGCTGGCTGGGAAGCAAGACCATCTTCGTGTAACTGTTGTCAATTTTTTTTGTAATTAAAAAATAAAATATAAGATATAGTGTTGCCGATTAAAACAATCGACAGTTTACATCAAAAATCATGTACCCTATCGATAGAATCGATACAACCGATTGTATCGAAACTATCAATAGCTCAGAACAAGGCAATACTGTCGAATGAGTGCAATACTATAGATGCTATCGATACTATTGTAGTTCGTTAATAACAAACTATTGATAGTATCGATACTATCGATACCGTTGATTTTTTCTGCAACAATACTATCGATAGTATCGATCCTAGCGATTATTTATATTAGACTAAAGTATGTGATTAACTATAATACCTGAAAATTGTAAACAATACTATTGCAAATTGTTGAACTATCGATAGTATGTTTGCAAATAAAATCGATACTATCGATAGTTTGTTATTAACGAACTACAATGCTATCGATAGTATTTAACTTATCCGATAGTATTGGCTTTTTCTGTGCTATCGATAGTATCGATACTATCGATAAGCCGATCGATTGTCATACGATTGGTTGGCTATCGATAGACTATCGATTAATCATTGATAGTCGACTATCGATCGGCAACACTAGTAAGAAACTTTACCTACATTGGAAATATTACATTGATAGATGATGTGAAGTTTTATATTTACATTTCATTCCTTCGTAAGCGAACTATCAAACTATAAAAAAAAATTACTATGTGTAAAATGTTCAAATGATTCACAAAATTAATGTAGTTCATTGTTGCATCAAGCATCTAGTGCATTGGCACTATTTATTATCTGCAGTGAGTAATATTTATATGTTGTATATTTATAATATTTAAACCATTCTGCGAATATTGTTTGATGATAAAATATGTAGCGAAGAGGTCATTGTACTGTAAAACTGAGCAGAAAACTCTTTTTCTATGTTAAACATTATACTAGGTGTTTATATTTAAAAGCCTATCATTTAAACAATTTACCTACTAATAATATTTATGACGAGTTCTTTTCGCTCGCTTTTCTAAAAAAACCTTATATCGCATAAGCTGCGGAAGTCATAGATAATAGAGCAAAGTGATGTACTAAAGTTTTGTAGAGGATAACAATAGCTACAAAATAGTTCAGAATATTATATGTCTAACTATTACAGCTATATCACAACTCGAGATCGCCTGCGGTTTCACCCGCGTTAATTTAAGGGTAAAAGGTTAAACTTGGTGAGTCAAATTTAAAAAAATGGACATATGCTGTCGCGGATCTTTTTATAGAACCTTTAAAGGGGAATAATTCCGTCAT